GTCCTGGGTAAATTGGAGAGCACGGGGTTGGCCATGCGAGCCAACTCTGGTAGGGAAACTGCATGCTCGCTCCTTTCCCCTGTCGCTGCTTTCCATACCGCCGTCGCCCAAGATAACGCTGGACCTAGCGCCTGTCTCCACATGGGGTCGTCCATAAGCATTAAAGATACTGGCTTCGAACAGCTTCTAGAAGGAGACCCGGCAACACTAAGGTACTCGTACTGTGCAGTGATAAGCTCCTTGTGCGTGACTCCCACTACCTCCGAACCGTGGAAACCAAAACTCTGTAGACCAGAAACGAACATGGATTCCATCTTGACCCCCGCCTTCTTCAAAACGTACAATTTCCGCTTTCGCTTTTTCAGAGCCTCCAAACGGCCTTTGAGCGTTAGTGTGGCCCCACTTTTGCACCTGAGACTGCCGGCGAAAAAATCTATCCCAAGATTGGTTGCTGCAGACCGGTTGGGGAGCGTAACGGGGCCTGCATATTTGCCAAAGGAGGCGTTTAAGAGCGACTTCAGCCTCACGCTGCTTGCAACGATCGCCGATTTGTGCAAGGCCACGCTGCACTTCATGGCAGAAGCGATCAGCTCCGACAGGCTCGCTGCAGCATGGGTAAGGATATTCACTATAGTTTTTATGCAACGGTTGGAATACATACCGAGGAAATCATCGATGAAAAGCGTCAGGTCGACACCGGGATACGCCGCACTCCATGATCGCAGGGGGGGCAACGAAAACACCGGAACCAAATAAGTAGCAAAAGAGCAGCCTGCTGCGATACCTTTGTACGGAAAATTGAGCATCATGCAAATTCCAGAGAAACCAAGAAAACGTCTACCGGAATATTGGTTGAGGACTATGGCCAGCACTGCTAAAGGATACTGCTGCTGTTCTGCCCGTTCCCAAAGCATATCGTGCTCTACGTGCTCGTAGTAATTACTGAGGTCCCAAAGAAATGCACCTGCATGGAGCCTGATACTGGTTAAAGCTGACGCCTCGGCCTGGAGACTCTGTAGGAACACGAGCTCCATGATAGATCTACCAGCTTGGTGCCCCATCATTTTGCTTCTGTTAGCTCTCTCCCACTCTCTAGAAACTCCCTGCCGGACCCGCGAATAAATCCTGTACTGGCTGGGAAGAAGCCCGATGCCCCGGAAGCCCAGCCCAACTTTGTTAGGCGTGTGCTTTGGTATCAAATTCGTGAGGATCGCGTGGATCGGGGAGGGCATGATGCCTACCTTTTCAACGATGCGGAAAAGCTTCGCTGCGCAGGATAACTGGTCATCATCCAAGAGCAAGTAATGGCGCGGGTGGAAACCATCCCAAGTCTGCGCCGTATGTTTTGAAAATGTTTTGGCTGCTTCTCTGATGTCCTGGCTGCTTATTTCGGCAAGCTCTTTCCAACTGCCTTCAGGGGCTTGGAAGATTTTTTTGGGGCTGGGCCGGGAATGCCATAGTTTTTCAAGGCGGTGGCCCTCGCGTTCTAACAACTTGGTGGGCTTTGTTGATTGGAGAATGTCTCCTCCCGTATCCACAGGACGCCAAAACTCTCTAATCTTACTCCACCTGTGGGCCCAACCCGTCCCTTTCCCCATCGCTTGCTCAACCCACTCCTTCCAAGCCGCAGTAGACATTGACTTGGTGAGCGCCTTCTCCTGGTTGATAGCCTCGTTCACCTGCTCAGTGAAGGTGTCCAGGGCCCGACTAACGATGCCCATATCGAACCTACCTTCTCTGACATCCATGTCCAAGGCGCTGATGTACGCGACTGCTTGAGAATGCACCCCTATTTGGGCGGGGAAAGAATGGAACTCGACCGGCGCCTCCTGGAGCTCCAAGGCCAATCTGGAGAGGGTAGCCGGCTGCCCAATACTGCAGGAGGGATCCGAGAATTCCCTGGAGTTCGGGTCCGAAATCTTCCCAATGGCTCTTGAAACTGCTTGGATCCAATTCTTGATCCAGATCAAGGGCTGGACGAGACTATGCCAGCTTTTCCGCGTCCTGCTTTGAGCTTGGCTGCGAGGGATCATCTTGATCTTGGGGGGGTCTGCCCGTCGAGAAAAGGGGCGCAGAGGTGCGTCTGTTGCTTTGGAGACGGTCTGCTCGAAGAGTTTAACGAACTTCTTATATGCTGCGTCCAGGAGTTTCCGTCGAACCTGAAGCCTGGTACCGGGATCGCCAACTTTACCACTGACCCGATCCGAGAGACAATCCAACTCGGCCCAGTCCACCGGTTCGAGGGAGGGCCCGAAGGGCTTCTGAGCAGGAAGACGGGGTGGTAACACCAGAACAGGAACGAGCTCCTTGTCTGACACCATGCTGTGCAAGCAAAAGAGACGATGGGGATAAAGAGGAAACGCATGATCTGTAACTGTGAAGATCCCATCAATCATATCTGCCAACGACTTGGACATCACAAAATAATCAATGACAGAGGTGGAATTCTTCGTGGCGTAGGTGCGGACGTCGGGGGCAATCAAGTGCATGCTAGCACGTTCCAAATAATCTAGCCGAAGAATTCTCATGGGCTTTACATTGAAATCCCCTCCACACAAAACAGGTAACCGATACTTCTCTTGAAGATCTGCAATCCATGCTAGTATCGACAAGTTGAGCTCGTTTAGCCCTACTCTGGTTTCAAGATACACCGAGCTTAAAAAGAACTTCCCAAACTACGGAATCTCACAGATCACGCTGAGTAAACGGTGCTCAAAACTACCATTGTTCGGAACTGCCGTAACCCCAAAATTTAAACCCCGGCGAATCAAGATGGCAACTCCTCCTGAACACTTGCCACTGGGTAGCCTAGATGCTGTACTGAACATACCGTGCCAACCACTAACATCACAAAGGAGAGCTGCTTTCTCAATATCTGCCGAAGATCTGATCAGGGTTTCCTGTAATAGAAGGATCTGTGATTCTGCAAACTGCTGGTGCTCAAGATTATCTTTGAATGACCTCCAAGAGTTCACATTGAGCGTGTGGATCACGAGGTTCCACTCTTCCTGATTCCGATCCTGTGTTACTTCTTGGGGAACGGAGGTTTGGGGGACCGAGTGGCCCCTTGGGAGAGGGTTAAAGCAACTGCCCACCAGTCCCTGGGGAAAGGGAGACAGCGGGATGGGCGCCAGGCTCTGGGGGAACACCGCCGAGAGGGGCTTGGGTACCATCTGCCCCCTGCTGGTCTTGCGGCGCCCCTGCCCCTTTCCCGGGATGGGAGATGCCCTTCCCTCCTTTCTTCCCTTTTGAACTTAACAGTCGTTGCTTTATCACTCCAGGAACTACTGCAGGATATGGTTGAGAAAAAGATGCCAACCGCTCTGGACCCAAGACTTTGAGTATCTTCTTGGACCGCTCTGCGACCGAGTCAGCGAAGCTCTCCGTTGCCATACCCACATCAGTTGTTGTAGCACCGCTATCTAATACAATCGGTGCCTCTGCTTCCTCCTCCTGCTGGTTGAATGGGTCGGCCGCCTCCGCTGAATCCATAGTCGACTGTTCCGGAATAGCTGCTAGAACTGCCTCTGGAAAGGGAACTGAAGGCGAGGCTCCTGATCCTTCTTCTTCTCCTGGCTGCTGCTGTGGAGGCTGTTGCTGCTGCAACTGCTGCTGCTGCACCTGGCTTTGCATCTCTTCATCCTGCGTCTGCATGATGATCGAATGTTGGATAAGTCCCGATAACTGGTCCAAAGCACTGTCCACATTATTCATCTGGTACTGGATCGACGGGAACATGGAGGTGAGGTGAGTGCGGAAGCGGTGCAACTGGTAGTTGACGTTGTCGCTGGGAGTAAGACCTTGGGCCTGGAAAGACTGGGCTGCTACCTTAATCTCGAGCTCTTTCTTCCTAGTTTCCAGTTTCACGAGCTCCTCATTTTGAGTAACCATGTTATTACCTAGCTCCTGATGCCTCTTGTCTAGATCTGAAACTGTGCTCCCTAATTCCTGATACTCCTGGTACATCTTGCCGAGCTTTGTCGTCAGGGAGGCGATCTGATCGGACAGGGACCTGACCTGGTGATCCGTGGGCTTCGCTGCAAAGGCTGAGTCCTTAGCGACACGGAGTTTCTCCAGGGCGTCCTTAGTGCTGGGGTGATTTTCCCCATGCCAGGTCTTGAAGTGATCGTAGTCCTTTTGGGCCAAGAGAATCGGGTCTTTCTTGATGGCATCCGGATCTGGAGCTCCCAATTGGCCCGCAGGGGGAGCTTGGGACCGTGAGGGAGGGGGGGGCGGTGGGGGCGGTGGCACGTAGAGCGGCCAATATTGCTGTTGCCACGGCTGGTACGTGAACTGGTTCGGAGCATACTGCTTCGGATGCTGCTGGGAGTACCCCGACTTTCCCTGATCTGCTGCCAGCCCCTTGCCCCTGCCCTTGCCCTTTCCCTTTTTGCCCGTCCCCTGGGCGGAGCCGTTGATGAACGACTCGTACTGGAACTGGTTCTGGAAGTAGCCTGGGTGATACTCCCAAGGAATACGACGAGGAAGATAGACATCGAGAGGTCCTCCACAAAGGTCACACTCCTTAGCTCCACGACTGCGCCAGACCCAGCCCGGGCAGCCTGGTTGCAGGCAGCGGGCCCGACGCGAGTCTGGCAAGCCTTGCGCCATGCTGCCTTCCTGAGAGGTGATTGAGCCGCACCTGTGGCGGCGCGGCCGAGAACGAAAGTTGCTCCGACCAGGAGCTCACTGAAAGCTTGACTGAGGCAGCCAGGCCTGAGGAAGGGCTGCCCTTCCACCTCAGCCTCGAGCCTCTGGAGTCGGGACGGGAGGTAAGCTCCGTCTTGAGCCAAAATGGCTACGGAGAGGAGGAGGAGGAGGAGGAGGAGGGAGGAGGAGAGGAGGAGGAGGAGGAGGAGGAGGAGGGCGAGGGCGAGGGCGAGGAGGAGGGAGGAGGATTGGGGCAGATGGGGAGGGAGGGAGAGAGTGGATATAGAGTGGGAAGGAGTGAGGAAGGTAAGGAGAAGGGAGAGCGAGGGGTTGAAGCCAGGAGCTCCCGCCTCCTTTGCCCTGAGGGCCCAGAACTCGCTGGTGTTCTCCACGGCGGCCATGGCCGAGTCGTCGACAAGCAGATCCTTGGTGTGCGGAACCGGTATGGGCTGCCTCTTCCTCGTGCATGACGCTCGAGACGCCCAGGGACCTTCTGGAGGTTCCCAGGAAGTTTCCCCGAGGCCTCCCGAGGCGCCGCACGCCTCCAGAGCGCCCTCGGCGCCACAGAGACCTGTCGATCATCCTGCTGCTGCTGCTGCTCCTCCTCTGGACGATGGAACTAAGTACGGAAATAATGGGTACGATGCCCAAGAACAACTGTTGTCCAACACTGACAGCGGCCGCTGCTGGGCAGGCGACCTTCGGCCTCCACTGAACAGCGCTCGCGGCGAGGCCGGCAACGAGTCCTGTCCAGAATGAAGAAGATTTGCTGCCAGTCTTCGTGCCCCTTCTTTCCATACCCACGTCGATCCTCCCGATCTTGTGGGGAAACAATATCGGCGGTGAACAAGCCTCCCTCTAATAAACCTCCCCCAAGTGAAAGCGGCCTGGGACCGAAACCGACGGACCTGGACCAGCACAAATGACGGCCGCGACGCCCTCTCGCGAGCCGAAAACGGCCAATTCCTGAATCGACGCGTCAGGGCAGGAGGTCTCTCCACCTCCGACCACTCGCCATCGCTCGGACGTCCGTTCCCTGTGCTTTTTTCGGTTTCGTGCGTGGCTTTTTCGCCAAATGACCAAGGATGCTCCTCGATGGCCCTCGCCGAAGGCAAAATGCACACGTCCGAGCGATGCCAAGACAATCAAGCACCGAAGCCGCTACTCCCAGGGACCTCTCCCAAGGGGTGCACTCCGACCAGGATCCCGCAGCGAGTCCAGCGGGTGGCGCCGAGGGCCTCCCGGGAGGACCGGCACGGCCCAAACGAGAGAAGGGCAGTCGGGATTTCGCACTACTGAAGGGGCCCCAGGACACACAAATAAATACACACAAACAACACGAGTTGACATATGTTCCTATATTTTCTGGGTTTCTGTCTTCCCCCCCACTTCCCATATTTTCCGATATTTTCTGGGGAGTCGAGGATTAATTGTGTCTGTGTGATTATTGTCCTCCTGATGATTTGGGCTCCAAGGGGGTCTGGGCAACACGCCGGCCCTTTCATGGCTGGTCTGGGGGGGGGGGTCTGACATGGCTCGTCTGGGAATTTTGTGGCCCCCACTCGTTTGTTATGAGATTCGGAGTATGGAAGAATGGAGCACGACACGGGCATAAACTTTTGGCGCTCCGCGCGGGTTGGATCTGCGCCAGGGGCGGCGCTGGAGGCGCCGCCAGGGGGCCCCAGGCGCCGATCCAAGAAATCCGCGCGGAACGCCAAACACTTATGTTTATCGCGTTTTCTCTTTCTCGAAATATGACATTCGGAGTCGCAGAATCGGTACCGTGATCTCCTCCTCCTCGTGCTGGCATCGAGCTTCCTCCACCGCTCCTCCTTCTCCTACTCCTGCTCCTCGCCCCTCCTCCTCTTTCTCCTCCTCCCTCCTGCCTTCCTTCCTTCCTTCCTTCCTTCCTTCCTTCCTCCCTCCCTCCCTCCTCCTCCCTGCTCCTCCTCCCTGCTCCTCCTCCTTCTCCTCCTCCTCCTGCTCTCCTCTTCCTCCTCCTCCTCCTCCTCCCTCCTCCTCCTCTCTCCTCTCCTCCCCCTCCTCCTCCTTCCTCCCCGCTCCTCCTCCTTCCTCCTCCCTCCTCTTGCTCCCCCTCCTCCTCCTCCTCCTCCTCCTCCTCCCTCCCTCCTCGTCCCTCCTCCCTCCTTTTGCTCCTCGTGCTCCTCCCTCCTGGGGAGACCTGAGACTCTGGTTCGGGGTACTCGGGTCAGCCCGACGGTGCCGCCAGGAACATGCCGAGACCCAGCCCGCAATTTGACGCGAACTCCCGCTGCAACCATCCAACGGAAAAACTGGACCGTCAACATGAAGGGGCCCAGGGACACACAACTAAATACGTAGACACAAATCCCAATATTCCCCCATGTTTTGGAATACTTTCTGGATGTTCGTTTCCCCCCCCCCACTTCCCATCTATTTCCATACTTGCCTCCTTGGAGTCGGCGATTCATTGTGTCTGTGTGTTTCTTTCCACCCTTGGAGGAAAGAAAACTATGCACATACACCGATTCTGGCCAGGCCCATCCTGAGCCCAGGATCGGTGCATACGCCCTCTACCTTGGCCAGGAAGGTATATGCACCGATCCTGGGTCAAGGATGGGCCTTGCGAGGATCGGTGCATGTGTATAGTTCTCTTCGCCCGAACCCTGACGACATTCAGGACGGGCCAGCCCATCAAACATTGTCGGCAACTCCGGGCTCCGGCGACCTCGAGCCGTACACGTTTGCCCAACCCTCCGTGTCTGCCCTGCCCTGCCCCGCCGCCCTGCCTCCCTCCGCTTCCCCCTGGGAAGCGACCAAAGCTGACAGGTCCACCCCCTACAGTCGGGGCCTTGACCTAAGGAACCCTGAGGAGGAGGAGGAGGAGGAGGAGGAGGAGGAGGAGGAGGAGGAGGAGGAGGAGGAGGAGGAGGAGGAGGAGGAGGAAGGGAGGAGGAGGAGGAGGAGGAGGAGGGGCCCCCTGGCGCTCCAGGCTCGGGCGCCGCCGCTCGTGCGCGACGAGGCCAGGACGCGGATAACATCGAGCAAGGATGAATCGAGATACAGTCGGGGCCTTGACCTAAGGAACCCTAAATACGGAACGAGGCCCCTGTTTTCCATAAGTTAAACTTCGATTCCCCATCGAAAACATAAGGAACACCTGAGGCAAGCTGTGAAACACTTGAGGAACGCGGAGCCCCTCCCCAACGAAAAGGGTTCCTTCTTCAAGGCCCCGACTGTACATGGTCATGTCTCCTTGTGAGGGCCGGCGGTTCTACCTGGGCTGCTTGTGCCTAAGCCGCTTCGCACTCACCCGTGAGACCGACGCTGCTGCTTCGGACGATGCCCCTCCCTCTCCTCGTACCTCCCCCCCCCTCCTCCTCCCATCCTCCCGCTTGCCCGGCTTGGAGGTCTGGGGGAGGGGCAGGGTGGGCCCGTGTGGCTGTCCTCCTCCGGTCCCCACCCCCCCTGCCGTGCCGCGTGGCCGCCCGCTCCCGGGCGGCCCGTCCCTGCACGCCGCCACCGCTGCCGCCGGGGCGGGGTCCGCAATCTGCCCGTCCACCACCCGGACCACCACCTGCGGCAGCCGAGCGCGGCGGTGCCCCGGACTGCCGGGAGGCTGGAAGCACACATTGGGCGGCGCGCCCGGGGGGGGAAGTGACTAGGTGGGGCGGGCCTTCTCAGAAAGCTCGGAAACCCCCGGCCTTCTGAGAAGTTCTGTAAGCCTTCCTCGAAGACACGGAAAACCTCCCAGATGGCGCGAGGGCTTCTGAGAAGTCCCGCCGCCTTCCGAGAGGGCCTCCTCCTTCTCGCCTCCCCCCCCTCGCTCGCCGCCGACACGTGGCTGGATCCACGCGCGGGAAAGCTGGAGGCCACGCGCTGGTGGGGCACCTGCGGAAGCCCGGCGTGCCTGGCCTGAGACGGGCCGAGCGCCGGAAGGGCATCTGGCCATACAGTGTGTCCAGGTCTCGCCGGTCTCGCCAGGGCCAGCTGCCTCGTGCACAATGTGACAGTCGGGACGTTGACCTAAGGAACCCTAAATATGGAACGAGGCCCCTTTTTCCAGAAGCTAAACTTCGATTTCCCATCGAAAACTTAAGGAACATCTAAGGAAAGCTGTGGAACAATTAAGGAACACGGAGCCCCTCCCCGACGAAAAGGGTTCGTTCTTCAGCGCCGCGACTGTACAGTGTGTCCAGGTCTCGCCAGGGCCAGCCGCCTCGTGCACAATGTGCATCCAACCGCCTCGTATGGCTCCGCGTGCGTGGCGCTGCAGTGGAGGCCAGTCCTCAAGAGACCTTCCACAAGAAGCCCAAACCCGAGACCCCCAGGACGTCCATAGATTTTTGGTGTGGGAGCGTCAAGCTTCCCATCGAAAAGCCACCGACGCCCAAGAAACCCAGGGCACCCTGGGGGCAAGCAGGGCGTTTCTTGGCATGGGTCTCCACTGCATGAAGGCGCAGCGGGGGGGGGGCGCCGACACGCCCGAATGACAAAACTTGGCCAAATGGGGGCGCCTGGGAAAGTGTACGGAAAGCTGCCAGAAAGGACGGGCACCTCGCGCGAGAGGGCACATGTCAGTCTGGGCGTAATTGTGAACGCCAGCTCTTCTTCAAAGACACCTTGCACTTCCCCAGGGCCCTGGACGAGGGACAAGTCCTGGTCCAGGGTGGCTCGAACATTGCAGTGCAGTCGCGGCCGCGGCAAGCCTCCGCGAGAGACCCAGCCCTGAAGACCCGCGCGAGAGGTGCGACGGGGGGGACGGCTGTGGCACCCTGAGCGCAGCAACTCCCCAAGGGCCGCGGGAAGTCACCGCGCGGCGCGCGGACCGAAGCCCAGGATACCCTGGCGACAGGCAGTGGGTTTCTTGATGTGCGCCCGCACTGTGCCCCAGACTGCCCAAGAATTCCCCGCCGCAGCAATCACGAAGATATGAGATCAGTGGTGCTGATAGAATGCACCAGAAAGCACCCTAAGACGCGCGGGGGCAGGCTGCAATAGGCGAGCCAGGACCCGAGACCGTCGCTGTCCACGACGGCTCAAGAGGCCCTTCGGATCGCATGCGGAGGACCTCGAGTTCCCCCTGAGGGTCCCCAGCTGACCCTGAGTCTACCCAAGAAGGCCGGCCCAAGAGGGCGCCGCGACGGCTCCGGGAGGACCCCACGAGGCCGCCAGGACGGCCTCAGGGGGCGGCCCGAAGGCAGCTCGAGACGTCCAACGAGAGCCCCGGGAGGCCGCCAAGAAGGTCCAACAAGCCCTGCCGAAAAGGCCCGAGACAGCCCCCAGGACGGCATAAGCGGGGCCTCAGAAGTAAACCACAATCGAGTGAGTCTTCCTTTGGTTATCGGCGACACGTCCGTTGCGTTTCCCCAGCAGTTGGCCAAGCTCCTTCCAAAAGGCAGGTGGGCGGCGGTGACTCGCCGTCTGCGATGCTCTTCGGATTGTTCATGATCCTCCTAACCCTTGCCACTCCCTGTTCATTCTTCCTCAGCTGTTCCCCTTCGCATTGTAATTTCTCTTACTCCTGAAGTTACATGACTCATACTTCTCATACCTCTGTATATTCCCCATGTCCTCCTCCCCTTCCAGTGTGGCAGACGATTGCGCCACGAACTCTGCGATCTCTTTTTCAACTGGAGTAACTGCACGGTGTCCATGGGAGAATATCCTCCCTCTGCCTGCCTCATCCGTCCTCCGAAATCTTAACACCTATTTGCACATCTTCCTTATTACTCTCATACGCCTTTCTACATCCTGATCCTCGCCTACTCTCTTCCCATGCAGGAGGAGGTAGCCAGACGTGTGCTAAGAGGACCCTCCAACCACGAAGACATGTTCGTGTCCTGAGGCATCTGCAGTCGTTGGAATAATTCAGGTGTATCCCATTGTTCGGCGGATGCCTACAGCTCCGCGGCATCGCTGAGTGATGCCACTGGTCTGCAACAGCCCCACCGCTACCCTAAGACGCCGTCGCCAGCCTTGGGCTCGGGATTCTCACGGCACGCTCGCGGCTCCGCACCCTGCCCTGGCGCCCAGGCGAGCTAGAGCTTGAGCGCGCGCGAAGCGCGCGATGGTCCTGGTTTGATGTCGCCTGCATTTGGGGGGACAAACACAAGGTACTGATACCGATACTCCCAGGGCCTCTCCCGGGGTGCATTTCGACCAAAATTTCGAGGCGAATCCAGCGGTAGCGACCAAGGCCTCCCATGAGGCCCGAAACGGGGAAAACGAGGGAAGGGTAGCGGTACGGGCACCTGCTCCTCCTCTGAACCCTGGCTCCTCCGCACGGCGCGATCTTCGAGCGGCATCCGCCGCTGTCGGTGGCTGATCGCTAGGACCCGTCCCTTTTCTTGGTGCCGCCCGCCTCGTCCTCGTCCTCGTCCTCCTCCTCCTCCTCCTCCTCCTCCTCCTCCTCCTCCTCCCTCCTCCCTCCTCCTCCTCCTCCTCCTCCTCCTCCTCCTCTCCTCCTCCTCCTCCTCCTCCTCCTCCTCCTCCTCCTCCTCCTCCTCCTCCTCCTCCTCCCGGTGCCGCCCGCCTCGTCCTCTGCGCGCGGCACCTCCCCGACCTCCTGCCACACGGCGCGGACGCGCAGGGCGACCTCCGTCGCCCTGTCGCACCTCGGGGGGGCGGGCCAGAGCGGCGCTGCGATTGGCCCGACCGAGGGGAGGGAGAAAGGGAAAGAGCACCTCCTCTGCCTCCTCACCCCCTCTCCTCCTCCCTTCCTCTTCCTCCCTTCCTCCTCCTCCTCCGCCTCCTCCTCCTCCTCCTCCTCCTCTGCCTGTTTCCCCTCCTCCCCCTCGTCCTGCTGGTACCTGGTGCCGGTCGGCTGGGGTGTTCGGAGAACGCGCCCCCGCCCCCCCCCCCCCATGAAGCTGGTCGCCCTGTGAGAAGCTTGCATCGGTGGCCAGGGCTGGGCCCTCAAAGCGAGGGAGCCCACCGAAGGCGCAGGGGGGCTTGGCGCAGGGAGCCCACATGAAACGGCTGGAGGTGGGGAGGAGGAGGAGGAGGAGGTAGGAGGAGGAGGAGGAGGAAGGAGGAGGAGGAGGAGTGAGGACGAGGAGGAGGGGGGAGAGAAGGCAGGAGAAGGAGGAGGGGAGGTAGGGGGAGGAGGCGGAAGGAGGAGGAGGAGGAAGGAGGAGGCGGAGGAGGAGGAGGAGAGAGGAAAGGAGGGAGGAGTGGAGGAGGAGAGGAGGAGGAGGAGGGGTGGAGGAGGAGGAGGAGGAGAGGAGGAGGAGGAGGAGGAGGAAGAGGGGGAGGGGGAGGGGGGAGGGGGATGTGGGGAGGGGCAGGTAGGGGGAGGAGGAGAGGAGGAGGAGGAGGAGGGGAGGAGGAAGAGGAGGGGAGGAGGAGGAAGAGGAGGGGGGGGGGGGGTGGAAGGAGAGGTGGAGGAGGAGGCAGGAGGGGAGGAGGTGGTGGTGGAGGAGGAGGAGGAGGAGGAGGGGAGGGGGAGGAGGAGGAGAGGAGGAGGAGGAGGAGGGAGGAGGGGAGGCGGACGGAGGAGGAGGCGTCGCGCGCCGAGCACCCCCGACGCGGCGGGGTGAGCCGCGGGGTGGCACGCGCCCAAGATCGAGCGGGGGGGCCCAGGGGGGGCAGCGCCCCGAGCTGCACTTTTTCCGCCATGTAGGGCAGCGGAGGGCGCCATGGGATGATCAGCTCTCTGAGATCCACGCGGAGCTCCTCCTCCTCTTCCTCCTCTCCCTCTCTCTCCTCCTCTCCTCCGCCTCCTCCCCCTCCCCCCTCCCTCCTCCTCTCCTCCTCCTCCTCCCTCCTCCTCCTCCTCCTCCTCCTTCTCCCCCTCCTCCTCCTCCTCCTCCTCCTCCTCCTCCTCCTCCTCCTCAGAAGGGGACCCTGTTGGTGCCTTGTGGGTCCCCGTCTGCGGTGTGGCCGCCTGCCTCCCTGTAATTACGCCGCCAGACTGTGCCCCGCTCGGAGATCCTGGCCCTCGCGATCGGGCTCGAGAATTCCCGCGGAGATGTCGTTTATGTTTGCGATTGTAAGCCTGTGGTTGATGGCTGGAGGTCAGGCCGTGCGACTCACCCCCGAGGGGAGAATGCTGACCTCTGGACTCGTGTTAAGAAGGCCGCTGATGGCCGAGGTCCTGGAGGGGTCTCGGTAGTGTGGACGGCTTCGCACTTGGAGGCTGAGCCAGAGCGTCTTACCTCTCCCTTCCAAGCCTTCCTCTCCCACGGCAATGCTTGTGCGGATGTTTGGGCTGGGTGGGCGGCGAGGACGGGGTGGGATGCGTCTGTGTGCAAGCCAGTGCCAGCGACTGACCGCTGGGACGTCACCGCCCTCCTCATTCGTAGACGGGCTCGGAGAGCCCTGATCGATACGCTTGCGGTTGCTCCTGAGTTCGGCACACGGCCTCACAAGGATCGCCAGAAGCCGCAGTCTCAGTTGCAGCGTGCCCTTGAAGTTACCAGTCATCGGTTCAAGCCTTGCGGCAATCGTTGGATGTGTTCCTTATGTCAGGCAATCGTTCCTAGGTCTAAGTTGATCGCAGCAGCGAGTTCTGTATGCCCCGCTGCTCTCGCCGCTCGGTCTGGCCCCGCCTCTCCTCCTTCTGATGCGGTGGTCCCTGGCCCGACCTCCCGGTTCCGCGGTGAAGGAATTGCGTCTGTGGTCGGGCGCTCTGAGGTTGGAGGGGTGCTTCTGCACCCGAACCACTCCCTCCAGGAGTGGAAGAAATATGGTCTGACATTCTGTGCTGTTTGTGGTTTCGCTGCCGCCGTGAGCGGAAGGCAGCTCAGTACGCCGTGCGCGCTGCCGCTCGTGAATGGAGTCCCTCGCCCGTCTCGGAAAGGGGTTGAGAACCTGGCTCGTATCAGGAAGGGCCGCTTTCCTTCCTATCGTGGAGTTCCGGTTGCAATCCAGGAAGCTGCGGCGGAGGCAGGGACCTCTGCTGCTGCCGCTGCCGTCTCGGGAGCTCCCTGTCCTCGCTCACCCGTCCCTGTGCAGTTGGATGAATACGCGAGGTTTCAGGAGCTCCCACATCCTGTGGTGTGTTTCCCCTCGGCCCCTATGGTGGGCTCTGGAGGGAAGGTCGGTGATGAGGAGGCCTTGAGGGGAGATGAGTCGGGGGCGGCGTCGTCGGTCGCGGCGGCAGGAGCGGTCGGCGGGGTGAGAGCGAGGAGGGAGAGTGCCCCCCCCCCCCCCCGCGCCGCCGCCCCGCGTCGGCGGACTCCGTCGACTCCATCAGGCGCGCCCCCCGCCCTCCCCCGCCCCTCTCCCACCGATGTAGAGGGCACGTGCGTGCACTTACTCACCATAACTCACCATCCTCCTCCTCCTCTCCTCCTCCTCCTCCTCCTCCTCCTCCTCCTCCTCCTCCTCCTCCTCCTCCTCCCTCCCCCTCCCCTCCTCCTCCTCCTCTCCTCCTCCTCTCCTCCTCCTCCTTCTCCCCCCACTCCTCCTCCTCCTCCTCCTCCTCCTCCTTCGAGGTCTGGGGCGGCCGTCCCCTCCACCCCCGTCCCTCCTCTCGCCTCCCCTCCCCCGCGGAGGGGCCAAGGCATCGTCCGCCGCTCTTTCGTACGATGTGTATGCTAAGGTGTGGTTTGGGGCCCCCCGATGCTCAGGACTTCTGGGGCGCGGCTCGGCCACGGGCCCCTGGCTGCCCATCGCCCGCTTCGGCGGCCTCAAGGCTTCGGCAGCCCCGGGCAGCAGTCGGCGGGCCTTCCGTCGACTCCCATGGGAGAAGAAACAAACGGTACAAACAGAAACTGTTAGAGCTCCACGCGGATGTCTGGGATCTGCGCTGGGCCCCGAGGAGGAGGAGGAGGAGGAGGAGGAGGAGGAGGAGGAGGAGGAGCAGGAGGAGGAGGAGGAAGAGGACAACGCAACAGCCCTGAGGCTTATGTTGGTCGAACGCAACAAAAAAAGAGGAGGGAGGAGGGAGGAGGGAGGAGGGAGAGGGAGGAGGAGGAGGAGGATTAGGTTAGGCACGCCACTAGACCCGCCACCCCGAGCAGGCACAGAAGCCCCCACTCGACATGGCGAGCCCGTGGTTATCAGTTTCAGTATGCTCCACCGCCGCTCGCCGGCCCTCTGGCCTGCGAGGGCCCACTCCTTGGTGCCAGCGCTGGCACACAAGGGTTCACGTCGGCGGGCCTGCGAGCGGCGGCGGCGGCGTCAGGCGCACAGGGCTGCGCCTGCGACACGCCGCTGGCGGTGAGCTCCACGACGTCCTCCTCGTAGAGCTCCAGCTCGAAGTACACATTGCGGCCTAACCCCTCGCCGCGCAGGGGAAAACTGTGGCCTAACCCCTCGCCACGCAGGGGGAAACTGCGGTCTAACCCCTCGCCGCGCTGGGGTTGGTGGCCTAACCCCTCGCCACGCAGGGGGTGTGTGCGGTCTAACCCCTCACCGTGCTGGGGATCGCCTGACCCCGCAGTCTCGCCCTGCGAGGGTCGGCTGCGGTCTAACCCCTCACCGCGCTGGGGTGGGACGTACTGCTTTCCGTACTGCTCCCTCTCATTGACGCGGTCTAACCCCTCACCGCGCTGGGGTGCTTTCCTCCACTCGGAGGGGTCGTCGGGCTGCCCCTGGCTCGCGGAGATCGGGTCGTGGTGCTCTGGGGGCCGTGCCCCCACTATCTCCTGTCCATCATGACGCCGCCCTTCGACCCTTTGTTCTCCTTCGCCTCGAGGGAGCCCTTGCTCGTCGATACGGCCTAACCCCTCGCCGTGCTGGGGTGCAGCGTCGTCGTCCTCCTCGTATAGCTCGAGCTCGATGTAGTCGCCTGCCGCGGCCCTGGCTAACCTGCTCGAGCCCGCCAGTGTATGTTGCCATCGGCCTAACCCCTCGCCGCGCTGGGGATCATCGTGGCCTAACCCCTCGCCGCGCAGGGGAACATTGTGGCCTAACCCCTCGCCACGCGGGGGAAAATCGCGGTCCAACCCCTCGCCGCGCTGGGGTTGGTGGCCTAACCCCTCGCCACGCAGGGGGAGCCTACGGTCTAACCCCTCACCGTGCTGGGGATCGCCTGCCCTCGCAGTCTCGCCCTGCGAAGGTCGGCTGCGGTCTAACCCCTCACCGCGCTGGGGGGCGATGTACTGCTCTCCGTATGTCTCCCTCTCGTTAACGCGGTCTAACCCCTCACCGCGCTGGGGTACTTTGCTCCACTCGTAGCGGTCGTCGGGCTGTCCCTGGCTCATGGAGATCGGGTCGAGGTGCTCATGGGGCCGCACCCCCACTATCTCCTGTCCATCATGACGCCGCCCTTCGACCCTTTGTTCTCCTTCGCCTCGAAAGATTCCTTCGTCGTCGATTCGGCCTAACCCCTCGCCGTGCTGGGGTGCAGTGTCGTCGTCCTCCTCGTAGAGCTCGAGCTCGATGTAGTCGCCTGCCGCGGCCCTGGCTAACCTGTTCGAGCACGCGAGTGTATGTACCCATCGGCCTAACCCCTCGCCGCGCTGGGGAGCGTCGTGGCCTAACCCCTCGCCACGCCGGGGTCCCCCACCCGCTGGGCTTGATGCTGCCGCCGATGCGCTTGTCGCCGTGGAGGCTCCGCACGTCCTTCTTGCAGGTGACGTGGCATCCGTACTCCCAGCAGTCGCCCGCTCAAGCCTGCAGCACCAGCTGCCGCGACTGAGGCCAGCTTCCACGGGGTCTCCTGCTT